AAAAGGAAATGAAAATAGAAAATTCAACATCTTTATTTTTTTTTTTTTAAAAAAAAATAAAGTTTATATTTATCCTTTCATCGTCTGGCTCTTTTTTTTGGTGATGTGGCTTTTCTTTTTCTGGTTCTTTTTATTGTCATGTGTCTTGGTTTTGTTGTTGTTAGCAGCATAGGTCCTTTTGGTTTATGCACGTTTTCGTAATATGCTCTGCCTCCCTTACCAAATTTTTGTACAAAGATGCCTCCTTCTTATTGTTTTGTGATCTTACCGTTCTTGTTTAGTATGGGCACGTACTGCTTTTTATGAAAATTCTATGTATGGAGAATTGGCAAATTGCGTTGCAATCTATGTGGTTCGATTTCAATGATGATCTCAGCTGCTTGCGACATATCAAACAAGAGTACAAGTACAATCAAAAGCCACAGAATAAATCTCATTTTGTTTATTATTCATCTAACAATGATTTAAATAGATCCGAATTTAGCAAGAGTTACAGATTTGGGGTTTATATAAGCCAACCTGTCAATTATAATGTCTGTAGTATTATCTCAACGTAGATTTTCTTTGTCAGCAATGTGAGTCTTATTGGCTATTATTGTTTATTTTTGTTTAAATTAATTGATTTTATTTTTAGAATAGCTGAATTTGATTTGAACGCGTTGTATTGAGAATTGAGAAGGATTGACAAGAAGATCGATGCTGAAAAGTTACTAAAGAGAATTATTAAGATTGAAAAGAAAGAAATTCAAAAATGTTGTGAAAGAATTCAGAAACAATATGAAAAACTTTTGTATTTTTATTATGTTTTATGTTTGATTATTTTTATTTTATTGTTTCCTTATCTTTTAAGTTTCATTTTTTTTTTCTTTTACGACTATGATTTTGAGTACAAACGTCATAGTCATATCGAGTTTAAAATAGTTTTTTGATTATATAATTTTTTTTTAAATTACTATATAATACCACTATTATTATGTAATAAAAATAATAATTAAGTATGAGAATTATTCTTTGGTTTATTATTTTATTGGTTACAATTAATCAGTCTTTGGAGTACAAAAATTTCAATCTAACAGAGTGTTTGAGCAACGCAAACAAGACACACAACATCTTTGAGGCTAAAAATCTGAAGTATCAAGTGAACAACATGTTTACAGAAATGATACGTTGTCTTCAAATGTTAAAAGATTATTGTTATTTTGAAAATAGTCTAACAAATAAAATAATAAATCAGGGTTAAAGTATTAATAATTAGATTACATAATTTCATTATATAAGCATTAAATAAAGATATTTATATTTAAATTTTCTTTATTTGTAAATAATCTCTTTTTACGCAAGTTGATTTTTTGTTTTATTTAAAATTTTTGCAATTTAACAGTATAATATATTTATTTTAGAATGAAATTACAATGTGGATTATTGTTTTTTCTTTATACCTCTTAATCTTTGTCACACTATGGAGTATCAATATACTGCACATAACCGAACATACATCATTTTACAAGAAATAATAACATGTGTTGACAAGTTTAAAAATGATTTGAAGATTGATGTTTTTTTATTTTAATGTTATTTATATATATTCTTTGATTTAAATATAAACGAAAATTTTAAGATTTTGATTCAAATAAAAAAATGATTTTTAATATGATTAAAAAATGTATTATTTTTATTTTAACCTTTTTTTATCTAACTGATATTTATTTTCTTTCTTTTTTTAAAAAAAATAATGATACTATCAATGAAAATGATGATGAAAATAATGATTTTATTAACAGTATTGTTCAACAGATGAAATTAAAAAAATGAAAATTTGATGAAAATTTTATTAAAAAAAGAATCAAGATCTATATCAAAAAAATTGATAATGAAACAGAATTTAAACATGATATGCCTCCTTTGATTATATCTGAAAATTTTTTAAACCTTAGCGAGAATGCTTCTTTATTGAGCAGTGAAAAACTTTTACATTGGGCAAGAAGAAGAATTTACAGAAAAAAAGGTAATTATTTATTAAAATTAAGAAAAAAATAATTATTTAATTCTAATTAAGTTTCTTATTTTAAGAAAATAAAAAAGAACTCAATGAAGAAAAAATTGATAAAATTGCTAAAAAAATTCTAAAATTATTAAATCTCAATCTCGTTAAAAATAAAAATATACAAGAAGAAATTGTTGAATATATTAAAAAAATTAATAATTTAACCAATGAAAATGATAATAATTATCTTGATTTGGAATTTAAAAATATAAATGATTTATTTCCAAATTCACTTTATATAGAAAACTTTTTTCATTGGGTTACTAGATACACTCATCAGAATATTTAATTATTTTTTATATAATTTTATTAAAATTTTGAAGATATTCATAATTTTTATTAATAAAATTTAATTATTTTTGAATTTGTTTAAAAAATTATTTAAAAAATTACTAATTGATTCTCTAAAAAAAACCTAAAATTAAGGTTATGATAATAATGTACATCATGAAAGAGTTATCGTAGTCTTTAAGGATTGTTAAAAGTAGAATCATGACTAAACAAAAAACAATAGTATGCATTTTTTTCCTATAATTAAAAAAAAAAAAATTAAAACAATATTATTATTAAGATAAATAAAACAAATATACTATTGTACTATGCCTTTTTTTCTACCATATCCTTAAAGAAAGTTCTTTCTTGTTCACGTTCTTTTCTTTCTTCTTTTCTTTTTTTATTTTTCTTTTCTTTGTATTTTTCATAATCTTGGGTAAAGGAAGTTTGATTGCTTTGTTCTGAATCGCTATGTTGTTGTTCTTCCCTAAAAAACAAATAATTAGTCCAAATATAAACAAAAAATAAACACAAATTGAGTATTTGATTAATTACATTGACAATTCGTTATGTTGTGTTTGGGAAACAAGACTCATGTTTCAAATTAATATATAATCAGGTGAAATGAATTAGTCCAAATTAAGAGAGTATGTTGTACCATTCCAAATTTATATAGAAGGTTCAAGGTGTGAACCATTAGCTCTATTAGAAATTTTCATAGTCATGTATGTGTAATCAGAAGCAGGAGTATCGATTTTCCTAGTTTTTTACTCCTGTTTCAGAGATCATGAGATGATACATTTTGATCGATCAAATATTGGTTCAATTGTGATTACATTCCAAATTTTTATAGGTTCAAGACACAATCTGCTAGTTCCATTTAGGAATTTCCATATTCATGCATGTATAATCAGGAGCAGAAGTACCAGTTTTTCTGGTTTCATGCTTCTGTTTCAGACATTCGGAGATGCATTCCAGATTTGGGTTATCTGAATTCACATGTGTGATACAAGCTAATTTCTAGTTGTTTATGCGGTCTCATGTAAGCCACATGCGTCCAAATATGCTTATCCAATCCCTCCATTCAATCTTGTTTTGAAACAACAAACAATCCCCTTATACGGTCTTATTCTCTTTTGTCCATTTTTTGGTATAAGATTGCCTGGTCTCATAGCACGAACAATCCCCAATTTTTCGCAAAATTTTTTTCAAAAATTTTTCAACTTTCACAGATTTCCAAAAAACAATTTACATGTTCCTTCTATTTCTTATCTACATACTTCTATTAATCAACGTCGGTATGTCTTATCTCTTTTAACGAACTGCATTTGGTCAATTTGCTCCAAACCAAGAGGAGTACTATCCCGAATTTTTGCCTTCTAGTCGATCTTCTTCAGTGCAAGTTGAGGATTCTGTCACAGAATCTATACCAGATGTTCCTCCGAGCTATCAAGAGGCTGTGGCTACGGGCTTATTTACGACAGCAACTTCAGGTATTTAAGATCAATAAAATTTGTTTTTAATCTCTAAAATTTTTGCAATTTTTACAACAAAAAATAAATCTAACATGGCTTTTCAACCTATTGTCGAACAAATTGAACATGTCACAGAAGAAGTTGTTGCCACTTCTGAAGGTAAATATTTATATTTTAATTAATTAATTATTTATTTATATTAAATATAATTTGATTTTACTAGATACAAGTTACTTTTCAGATCGATTGGCAACTGAATTTGAACAATATGAGAACAAAATTTGTTCTCTTGAAAAAATGATCGAAAAACTTTTAAAGATTTTATTTTTTTTAAATTTTGTATTTTTAGT